CTCGTAATTTTTCGAAGAAAAGATATAGCTTATATCACTAAAAAGCTTAAAAAATTGCGCTTTTTATGAAGTCATTGCCAACTATGGTTTCCTTTTAAAAAAACATATGTTTGTGTCATATGTCAAAAATGACAGGCTTTAGAAAAAAACGGAGGACACAATCTCATTAAGGATGTGATTATCTACAACTTTTATCTGAAAACTTTTTGTCTAAAATAGCTTGTAATGGAATTAGGGACAATTTTTAAAATAGCCAAAATTTGTTTTTTTCGAAATATCTAGTAAGCCATGAACTTTTTCAAAAATCTGAAAGGCGCACATTTATGACCCCACAAAATTGCAATTCTTTTCCCATTTAACCAACTCTCTATCTCCAGTAGTTTCCGAGATACCCATAGAGAACATCGTAGGAAACTCACCCTGTATACTTTTCTTGCTCAACTCAAAATTAACAGAGGTAGGGTGGCTAGAAGTTAGGGAATGAGAGTAAAATTTAAAAAAAATTCTAAGTTACTGAAAAATTCAGACATTTAACATTTTCTTTCAATTTGCTCAAAAATTATAAACTTCAATTCAGATTCTTTTAAATTCGCCCTCGGAAAGGTTAAAAAATTATAAAGTGCTTTTTTCAAATTTTTGGAAACTGATGAAGATAAGAAAGAAAAAATTCGAATAAAAGTTGTAGAGCGTGAAATTCTCCATTAAAATGTCTATACTTTTTTTGCACAAATCAAAATTAGCCAAGATAGGGGGATTAGAAGCTAAGGGATGATAGAAGAAATTCTAAAAATATAATTTATAAAATAAGCTGGCTGAAAAATTTATATTTTTAATAGTCTTTTTTCAATTTGCTCAGAAAATTATAAACATTAATTGTAGAGATAAGTAAATGTTTTTAATCGTTTATAACAAAGGTATAGTAATTTTAAAAATTAATTTAAAAATTAAAACATTTTTCCCCGATAAAATTATTTTTTTACGAATTCTGTAATTATTTCATAAATTTAACGTACGCGTTAGAAGTTTGTTTACTGTCCAATGGGCTTCTGGCTTCTGTGAAGAATCTGAATTGAAGTATATACTTTTCGAGCAAATTGAAAGAAAATGTTAAATATCTGAATTTTTCTGCAACTTATGACTTTTTTTTAAATTTCTAATATCATCCCCTAGTTATTAGCCACCCTATCTCGGTTAATTTTGAGTTGAGCAAAAAAAGTATAGACATTTTTATGAAGATTTTGACGCTCTACAACTTTTATTTGAACTTTTTCTTTCTAATCCTGATCACTTTCCCAAAATTTGCAAAAAAAACACTTTATAATTTTTCACCCCATCCCGGGGATGAATTTAAAAGAATCTGAATTGAAGTTTATAACTTTCGAAAAAATTGAAAGAAAATGTTAAATATATGAATTTTTCAACAACTTAAGGTACATTCAGGCTGAGAGTGTTGAGTTCTGAATTGTTTCTCGGCAAGATTTCTAGCGTTCAGTAGTTGTCATGGCGTCTGAGGACCAGCACGCAGAGGTGCTAATCGCCAAAATACAGGCACTGTCGAATGCAAAATTGCCTCAATATAAAAATAGAAATCTGCATGATCGTCTACTTGAAGAAATAGCTATAATGTTAGGTATTTCTAGTATTTTTTCACAGTATACAGTATGAGTAAATATATGAGAGCTTTCGAAATTCAAGATATAAATGATGAAATTCTCCATGCAGATATCGTCTTCTGTTTATAGGGCGAATTCCTACTTTTTTGACCATTCTTTTGAATGTAAAATATGGTGTTTCCAATAGTAACATTAGATAAACTGCTCTCCTTGAAACCATTTTACAAACTGAAAACCTAAAAAATAAGCTCATATGACGCTGCGCTGACGCTCCCAGCCTGAGCGACCTGACGCGGCGCTCGACGCTCTCAGCCTGAATGTACCTTTATGATTTATTTTAAATTTCTTCTATCATCCCCTAGCTATCTCGGTTAATTTTGATTTGAGCAAAAAAAGTATACAGGGTGGTCCTAACTGTATTCCGAAAACTTCGGCAGCATATTCTACACATTAAAATAAGTAAAAAAGTTCGTATAAATGTATGTCCTGAAATGCTTACTTTGGGAGATACAGGGTGTAGAAGTTTCATTTTTATTTCGATTTTTTTCAAATAATTTCTGAAGTAACGTCAATATTTGGATGAAAATTGGCGTCTGGGAGTTTTTTGACATGAGAAATTTGATTTTGATGTCAATATGACTCCTACTAATAGAGGGCGCCACCTACATGTGTTTTGACTGTTTTGAAGCGTAATAACTTTTTGTCCGTACCTGTATAAAACTACCGAGCAAAAAAATATACATCTCGGTGACTTTTCACGCAAAAAGTATCTCTTTGTAAAAATCGCTACGAGCAACCGTTCTCAAGATATTTAGAATGGAAATAGTCAATACATGTCATTATAGACGAAAAATAAACACGTTGAGAATTCACTGAAATAATAAATTTGGGAAATTTTTATTTTTTTTAATTAATGATAAATTTTTCTGCAAAAAATGATGATAAAACAGTTTCTATTGAACTTATGGCACAAAAACGTTTTTGGCACTAATAACTATTTAGTTAACATGTTTAATTTATGTCAATGATGATAGGTATTGATAATTTCGATTCCAAATATCTCGAAAACCAGTACTCGTAGCGATTTTTACCAAGAGACCTTTTTCACGTAAAAAAACTCGTAAATGCATATTTTTTTACTCAATAGTTTTATACAGGTACGGACGAAAAGTTGTAACTCTTCAAACCAGTTAACAAATATGTAGGTGGCGCCCTCTACAAGTAGGAGTCATATTGACATCAAAATCAAATTTCTCATGCCAAAAAAGTCCCAGACGCCAATTTTTATCAAAATATTGATGCTACTTCAGAAATTATTTGGAAAAAATTAAAATAAAAATGCAACTTCTACACCCTGTATCTCCGAAACTCAGTATATTAGGACATACATTTATACGAACTTTTTTACTTATTTTTATCTGCAAAATATGCTGCCGAAGTTTCCGGAATACAGTTCGGACCACCCTGCAGAGTTTATTTTTATGTAAAATTTGACGCTCTGCAACTTTTATTTTTCTAGTTTTTACCGGTTCTCCGAAATTGCGAAAAAAAAAACTTTATTAACATATTTTACCCCTTCTAGGGGGTGAATTAAAAAAAATCTTTTTACAGTTCGTTTTTAGATCTCTCAAAGCAACTTATATCAAAAATTCAAGTTTTTCCCAAACATTCGTATTTGAAGGCCTATTTTCTTGGACTACTCGTATATTAGATCTTTCGATGTTATATTGCAGTTTTTATACAGAGTGTCCCAGAAATAAGTGCAAGTACTTTAACTGGTAGTATATAGTTCAACCTCTCAGAAACACGCCTATGAGGGTTTTTTCGCGAACATTTTTTTTTCAAAATTTGGAATTTTTTGAACATTTTTTTGGAAATTTTTTTAGTTTTTATTTAAAATAATTTCTTGATAATATGGCACCATAGGTAGTAGATTAAATTTAGAGGTTCTCAAAATTTTAGCAAAAATATTTTTTTTTGGAAATTTTCAAAGTAAAATAACTCCGTTATTTTGGACAATGGATTTGAAAAACGATAAAGAGAAAATATGTTTCTTTTATCGATATCTACCACCCCTTAAAATACTTGCACTTATTTCTGGGACACCCTGTATACTGGGTGTTTCAAAAAACATGTGCCATCTCTCGTGGGGAGATACCTCACATAAAAATAAGATTTATTTTTCATATCAACATAGGCCCGATTCTGCTTTGTTTCGTTACTACAGGGTGTTAAATTCTTTTAATATTTTTTCGATTTATTATAATTCTCTTCCGAGTGCTTTTAGCGATTCGAATGAAATTTGGACACTTTTTTCATCTATGATTTCGACGGTAAGAGTTACCACAGGAGTTAGATAGACACTATAAATGCGACATACGTATTTTAAAGCTAAAAAAATGTCGACATATTCACCATGCAGAGACGTGTGTATGTATATTATGGGTTATCACTGGAATATTCTTCTAAAAAAAGCATGTACGCTACTGACTTTTTTTTTCTTGTTGGTGAAAAATAGTGTAAGCAGTTTAATGCCGATTAAAAGTTGTCTCTTGATATTTTGTCGATTTCGGCATCCTTAATGAGATAAACGCATTTTTATTAATTTGCCTTGATCCAAGTCTATAGCAAATAGCAAACTTTAAAAAAATTTGATATCACTAACTTTCGAAAATTTTAAATAAGTACCCATTGATGCCTCATCATAAAATATGAAAAAAGTTCCTATAAACATGGGTATATATTCAAAAACGGTAAAGAGAAAATATGCTTCTTTTATCGAGATCTACCAAGGATCTACCAGCTCTGAAAACATTTGCACTTACTTAAGACTCCCCCCTGTATAGTATATCAGAGTAACTTTAAACATAAATCCTTTGAATTCAAATATAAACAGATATAAAATATAAATTTAAAAAATAATTAGAGCAGAAAAGGTGAAGGCGTTTAATATCCTTTATGCAAATACGTTTAAAATAAAGCTTTTATTTAAACGTATTTGCCTTTATGGATCTCCTTGTCTAATCTCCCCTGAACCTCTATATCTCTGAATACTCCTTTGTCAAAGACTACACCCTTTGTGTTTGGGTCAATAAAAGTGCAACAGTTTACGTTTTTGTGTGCAACAGTTAAGACCGACCCAAATCATATACATTCTCAAATTATATATGATTAGGACGACTCAACCACAGAACAATATCATAAACATGATACTCGACTTCTCGCAGTGTCACCAACTCCGGGATTTTATCCCTAAATTTGGGGAGAAAAAATCTATATGGGGATTTTTTTAGGGAGTAAAATTTTTCGGGGTTATTTTTAGGGATAAAATTTCAATGGAATTTTACCGCTACCAAAGAGGAGATAAAACCGCTACTGCTATAGGGAATTAGCATTTAGTCATAATCTCTACGTTACACCAAAGACGATACTCCTAGTAATGTAATTTAAGTGTATATGTTAGTTTATCGTTATAAATAGGTTAGACGGTATCTTTTCTTTCGAGCCTATTTTTTCCGTAAATTTTACCAGTTTTAAAGAGAATAGCTGTATAACATCACAACTACAATGTCCACGTCTGCCCTGGCATCTCTGACAGCGACTTACACCGACTCTGAAGGCGAAGAAGAAGATAATAATGAGGATGTAGAAAAAGCCCTTCGGAAGAAAACAACAAATCCCCTGCAGGGAAGCAATTCCGACCAGAAAAGTAGTACCTCCTCTCGACCTTCCAGCCCTAGTATCGTATCTACAGTGTTTGTCAAAACCAAACTAGCAAAATTAGTGTCGTATCATGACGATACTATAGCTTCAGACGAAGAGCCTGAAGCCGATGACGATATTCCGCAACAGATAATATTTGTAAACGACGAAGAAAAAACACAAGAAGCGGAGATGGTAGAGTTGGATGGTGTAGTAATACCTCCTGAACCACCTGGGAGCTGTTCGGCAGAACTACAAGACAAAATTACCAAATTATACGAAAAAATGCAGACGCAACAAATGGACATGAACTCTTTGATTCAGAAGAGAAAAGACTTTCGAAATCCGAGCATTTATGAGAAACTTATACAGTATTGCGGATTAAACGAACTAGGTACGAATTATCCACCCAATTTATACGATCCGCTTAAATTTGGTAAAGAATCTTACTATGAGGAACTGGCGAAAATCCAGAAAGCTGAAATGGATAAGAGAGAAAAGGAACGCAAAGGTAAAGTGAAATTTGTGTCGGGCACAAAGAAGTTGGAGGAGGAAGCGAACAAAAGGAAAAGTAAATGGGATATGCCCGGCGGGGCTAGCATGAAGGTAAATCAGCCTGGATTGGTGGCACCGCCTACGCTTACCACAACAGCTACAGGAACTAAGAGTAACGTTATACCGGCTTTTGGATCGCTACCTAAAAAACCTAAAATATAACTTTGTACGTAATAGATTTTTTTTTGGCATATATGTTGTTGTAAATAAATGTGATTTAGATCTTTGGATTGTTTTTAATGTGTTATAATTAAGAGAAGTCAAATATATCATAAATTACTTCTCCATATTGTAAATTGTGTCTTCAAAATACAGGCTGTTCCTTTATGATATGAAAATATATCAGGGGGTGAACTCTGATGTTTTAGATATCTTTATACAATTAAAGATATCTTATACAAAAAAGAGATTTGTTGTATCTCTTAATTATTATCCAGCCGATGAAGAAACACGGTTTTCACACAATAGCCACCGCATCAGATTTTAAGCGATCTGTCTCTAAAGTTAAATGACTATTTTTTTAAACAAAAACTGTGATTCGGATTAGGACATAATATTAAGTTTTTTCCTTAGAATAGATCCAAGATCATCCCCTTAAATATTACCATATCATTAAGGAACACCCTGTATACGTTTAATAACGACATTTTTCTGTAATATTTTAAATTATAAGATTATTATCCCGTATATCTGCAAATTTGTATAAGAAATTTTGAATAAAATATTTTATTTTATATTCAGTTTTACTGGTTGCCTAGCCAACTTCTACCATTTAAAATTCTGTGGTTCTGTTAGCCCTCTGTTGCTTTACAGCGGAAATAACATTTTTCAGAATCTCCCTTTCAGAGAATTTTTCTGTTTCTATTGTTGCTCTGTTGCCAAATATCTCAATTTATAGTGAAATCACGGAAACTTGCATTGTCAATGATATAAATAAAAAATAAATTTTAAAATAAACTATACTGGTTGTTTCTAAACATCAGAATATTATTATACACTTGATAAGCTGTTAAAATCGATATGTCTCAAATCAAGACTATGAATGGTATAAAATAATTTATTAGGATAATACAATAATAAACATCTGACATGCCGACGATGTGACAACGCCGTACAGGCTGATTTCTCGAAAGAGTTTAGTGATGGCCGCCGTAAGTAATGGTCGAGTCGCGATGGATGTGCAAAACGGAACGCAAAACGGCACCGCGGTGGTGGACCGTTTAAAAAAACTTTACCCCGCAGTGAACGAGGACAGGACTCCGCTGCCACGGGCCTGGAGCCCCAAAGAAAAATACGGATACATCGGTTTGTCTCAAGGAAATCTGCGCGTTCACTACAAAGGTAAGACCTTTCAAGGTCCGATTTGGACCGTTTTTGTCGCGCAGTATGCTGTTTCAGTGAAAAAAACTGGGAATTTTTACGGTAAAGGATCGAACGAGGAATTTTTCGGGCATTGTCATCCCCTGTGACTCTTCCTAGGAGAGATTCTTGCAGTCAAACAAAGAAATCAGCTGATTATGACACAGGGTAGTTGGTTTGGATGTGTGTATATCGGGTGCGAACAAAAATTAATGTGTTTTCCGTGTGTGTAAGTCCCGTGCTATAAATTCCTAATCGTGATCTCGAGAGATTCATTTCCTCTGCAAAAAGATGGAATTTTATCTGGATTGATCGTGTGTGTTGTCTCTGTGCGCAAGCAATAAATGGTTATTATGTAGAATGGCAAAATAGTACTAGATAAAAGGCGAATGGTTGGTTCCACTACGTTTTGTGCTGTTATGTTAATGACTTCCTTTACGGTTTATTTATACTTTGTGTTTTGATCCCAACGCTGAAAATATCGTTTTATTGGCCTCGTTTCGTTTTCTGCATCGTATCCACCTATTGGGTCTTTGTTGTTTTTTTTTTGACAGTTAAACACGTGTTATAATTACGCATTTTTATTATTCCTTTTGTGTACAGCTAAATAGTAACGTAAAAAACCTTAGAGGATAATTAATTTCAGTATAGTTTCAAAATAAACAAATTCACAACACAATGATAATAAATTAAATTAAGAAGGCTGTAAGAGGTATGACTTGATGTTTTGTTTAAACTTTACTGTGATTGGAAAATTTTCTATCTAGAGGTCTATTAGAACCTTGATTTAAAAAAAATATATAAAATATATACATATTTAGTTAAAAAGTAGAAACATGAAATAGCCATCTTATCCGATAGTCAAGCAGTACTAAAAGCGATCAACTCAGTAACTATCAGTTATAGAAGTTGGTCGAAGAATGTCTAGAAAAGCTAAACAAAAATGAGGCAAAGAAAATCCTACTACTCAACCAGAGCTGCAACAAGTTAGTGTTAAAAAGACTTAAGTTTTAAGTCATTTCTAAAATCAAAATGATTTAGGTCTTAAGTCAGTTTCAATATAAAGTTCAAATGACTTAAGTTTTAAGTCTTTGACTTAAGTTATTTTCTTTCAAGTTAAGTCATTTTTGTAAAGACTTGAATCAATATAACATTATTTAAGTCTTTTTTTTTTACTTAAGTCATGATAATTTGCAAGTTAAGTCAGTAAAATGACTTAAGTCTGGAAAATGACTTAAATCAATATAATTTCTCTCAAGTCGAGACAACCAGAATTCAATTTAAATACTTGTTTGATTTGGTTTGGCTTGGTATTGGAATTAACATTTAAAGTTAATATTAATTTTATTGTATTACCTATTACCGATTTTTTTATTATCGATATTCATTTATTGTAGAGACAGTTTAGAATAAAATATTATATAAACAACTATAATATTTAAAATTGTGAACTTTTGATTTTCCAATTAATTATTTAATAACTACTTGGTTACTTTTGAACCGCCATAACTTTCATAAGTTTATGTTGATTAACCAGTTAGCAACCCATCAGAGCAATCTCTTTGCTTGCTATTTTCTCGAAAACTATCGCTCTGGGCGATGTGCAACAAGAGTACCTTTTTTATAGGATAACGTATGTAGTTTTCAAAATATGAACCCACGTTGCAAAAAAATTAACCTCAAAAAAGTTATTCACGAAATAACCCCCTACCCTTGCAAAAACTACCCTTTTCGCTTTTCCAAATAATTTTTCAGTATCACCATTTGATTTAGAGTCAAAATGTATGGCAAAGGATTTTTTTTCGAGATTTTATCTCGTTTTTTAAGCCTGCAGTTTCAAAACAACCGTTTTTTAAATTCACCCTTTTTTACACCATTTCAATGACGCCCTGTATAAAAACATCAACAACTTAATTAAAATTAAATTTTCTGTTACTTTGTACAGGTTGTCTCATTTTTGTGTATTTTACAGGATTTCTCGTTTTTGAACAGCGGTAGGTACAAAGATACTGTTTTCACAGTTTTTTATGAAACGGATGAAACGAAAGATTTACGACAAAAATATATGAAAAAAAAGACAAATATTTTCTAAAAAGACTTAAATCCGAGCTTAAATCTCATAAAAGACTTAAATCTTTTAAAAGAGTTAAGTCTTTGATAAAATGATTTAAGTCATTAAAAAAGACTTAAATCTTTTTTAATGACTTAAATCTTTTTCTATTTCGGAATAAAGACTTAAATCCCAAGTCATTTTGAAAATGACTTAAATTTTAAGTCCTATGTCAGCTTTCGAAAAATATGACTTAAAATCAAATGATTTAAGTCATTAAAAAGACTTAAGTTTTCTTGCTTGCTTGTACTCAACTAGCCTCTATAAAGGCGTCTCAGATACTGGCTTTTGCCAAAGTCCTGAGACTGTATGATGAGTTATAACTCGTTATAACTCAAAAAAGGGGAACACACAATAGATCTGTAATGTTGCGGTGATTAAACCCCCTCCTAAACAGTCTACATTCTACATTTGTAGATTTCTTCCAGTGGCGAAGACCCCAGATATTTTTTTAATGAATAAAAAACATCTTTTGCAAAAATCCCAAAACATTTTGGTGTTTACATCGTATTTTCGATAAAAATCTCATATCTTCCGGTTAATTTAACAATAGTACGTTTCATTTGTTAAACAATAGAACGTGGATGTCGTTGTTATAAATGATCTGGTTTAAATTAGAGCACAATAATCGATCACGAATAATAAAAGAGATTGTGTAGCTTCTAAACCTTTTTTATTGTTATCAGATAATTATAATAATAAACGACTTTCACCATTAAAACTCTATGATACTTAAATCACATTTAATTGATATAATTTTCTGTGTGTTTATTTTTATTGTCTTCATTACACGACAGGTACCTATAGATTCAGAAAACTCGAATTATGAAAGTATATAGCTCATGAAAAAGCAATCAGTAATCTATGGAGGTTACAGAAAAAGATTTTTCGCAATAATACCGCGTAAATGCATAATTATTTTACTTTTATGGCATCAAATTAGTTATTGCTTCAGAGATAATATACGAGGGTGGTTTGACAAGTTGTCAACCTAAGAAATGTAATAAAAGTCTTTATTCCATATTTTATATTAGGCTCATAAAAGTAATGTTCGTTATTTACAGATTTTTTTCTGTATTTGGAATTTCTAAAAAGTTGAAATAAATGTATTGTTGCATATAACTTAATAATTGTTTTTTTTTACAGATGTTAATTTAAAGTATAAAGAAGCACACACACACACACACACACACTGCATTCACCAACTAAATAGAAAAATACCAATTCTTTCTGATGTAGGATAAGTTTGCATTTTCGGCAAATTTCTGGGATTTTTTATTTGGTTTAACTGATACAAAATGACTAGCTGTTAAAGTTGGACTAATTAGACAGCTATGTTGAAGTAACGTCAGACATATCACAGCCACCTGGATTTTATCAAATAATAAAGATCTACTCAGATCAAATCATGTAAATGAAAATATGTAGGAAAATCTTTGTTTGAGGGGTAGGCAACTTTAATAGTATTTAGAAGAGACATGAATTCTCCATTGAATATCGGAATAATATACCGGGTATCCCATTTAAAATAAAAGAGTAACATGCTTTTAAAGGTGATCAATGTTCAATATTAATTTTGTCTCATCCTGTATAATTTTTTGGATGAAGTTTTAATTTGATTTAAAGTTAATTTAACTACAGCTGCGTTCGACATTACAAATCGCAGATGAGGGCGGGCAGAGGCCGAGTTAAATCACGTGATTGCGGAGTACTCAGATATGCGATTTTGAAGACGAACGTTTTCGGAGCTGTCAGAGCCTTTCTGTTCAAAAATACTATAAATATAACCTATTTTCTGTGTGGTTCGGTGATATAACCTCAATTAAGAAAAAAAAAAGAGAAAAAGACTTTCCATTTAAATCTGCCTAAAATGGATATAAACACAGACCAGGCAATAGGTCTGATGTTAAATTTTGCGAACAGTATATTTTTTGACAGCAGTGATAGTGAAACAGAAGTAGAAAGAGCTCCAAGGGTACAACAATATGCTGAAGAAATTGTGCCACGACTTTCAGATAATACATTTAAATCTCATTTTAGAATAAACCTTTGTACATTTGAAGACTTACTTGGCAAGTTATATAGCGTTTCTGACTCCACAGTTCATTGTGGAACAGTGCCTGTGCCACTTGATAAGCAACTTATGGTTACAATTTGGTGTTTGGCAAACTTGGAGTGTTTTCGGTGAGTTCTATTCTCAGAGTTATATCAGAGGCAATATGCAACTTTTATTAACCATGGTAAAATTCAAACCTTGTTTTAGATCTGTAGCTGATCGTTTTGGGATCAGTAGGAGTACTTGTTGGAGCATTTTATACAGAGTTTGTAATCTACTGCTAAAAGTAAATAAGAAATTTAAAATTATTTCTTGGCCAAGTCAAGTAAGGGCAGAAGAAATTGAAAGGGAGTTTAGGGCCATTAATGGATTTCCAGGTAATGTTAATTTGGTTTTCAGTTAATTAGTTATGTTTCATCTAAATGTTTATAGGAATAATTGGAGCAATAGATGGGTCCCACATAAGGATTCTGAAACCAAAAGAAAACCCTAACTCATACTGCAATAGGAAGAGCTACCACTCAGTTTTATTGCAGGGGGTATGCGACAGCAAAAAATTATTCTTGGACGTTTACGCAGGGGAACCTGGGTCTATACATGATATGCGTTTATTTCGAAAGTCAGACCTTAACTCAAGAATAAGAAATGGCTCTGTGATAATTTCAGAAGATCATCATCTTATTGGAGACTTGGCATATAAGTTGTCACATTATTTACTGGTTGGTTTCAAAAATAATGTAGTTTTAACCCCTGCCCAAATTAATTTCAACAACAAACTGTCACAATGCAGAGTAGTGATAGAAAATGCATTTGCTCTTCTAAAGGGCAGGTTTCGTCGTTTAAAGTCTTTAGAAACAACTAGATTGGATCTAATCCCACTAATTATTGTATCAGGAACTGTTCTTCATAATATATGCATATTAAATGGAGATCTACTGGAAGATATTGCAGATTTACAATTGGAAGAAGAGATTTTAATTGAGGAAAATGTTTATGCAGTTGTTGATGATGTAAGAGAAGATTTGCAAGCAGTTCGAAAGAGGAATAATATAATGAATGCTCTACTAATGAATTAAAACATCCTAAATATTATTTTTCTTTCTAATGAATTAAAACATTATAAATAATAAAATTCTATAAGGAAATACCCCCCAATTTTGTTTTTTATTAGTATATTTTCCTTTCTTGGCACTTATAATATATTAGTAAAAAGCAACAGAAACTATTATTTTTAATTTAATTTAACAAAATACAAACATATACATACAAAATGTACAAAAATATAAATACTTATTAAAATGTAAACAAATTATTTTATTCTTGCTTTCTATTGCTTTGTTGGCTCTGTAATATATCAATATATTTTTGAAATAGGTTATTAAAACAATCCTGTCTCATCATTTTTCTTTATGTCTCCTCTCTATGCTGTTAGACCTGGCCGAAGATTTTCTCTTTTTAACAAAATTAGAATCTTGTAGTGTCTCCTCATTTTTATCTTCTTCATTATCAGTAGCACTCTTCTTGAATATCTTTTCTCCTGACTTATTTACTTGCAATCCAGAGCTGCTGCTGCAAGTAGCAACTGGCAATATTACAGCATGCATTGCATCAAAGAACTCCCACTTTCTTCTTTGCTTGCCTGAAGTATTATTGTGATCTACAATTTCACGATATATTTTGTCAGTCCTTTTCCATTTGGTTTCACATTGCTGCCAAGTTAAGGTAGTTCCATGTTCCTCGTTAAGTTGGGAAGAAATTTTTGTCCAAATATGTTTTTTTACACAGGTTTGAAACTGTTCATCTCTTTCACTAACTAAATTGATGAAATATAGAGTTAAATCTCTGGTCCACAATCTCTTACATTCTTGTATTGAATTTGTAGAACAACTTGAATCAGTTGGCGAAAGAGGACTTTTTTTATCGAGGAGTTCTAAAGTTGAGTTATTAGCTTCTATATCTTCATATTGCAAATTTATAGGTTCATAGGTACTTTCTACAAATACAAGTATAAAAATAATAGTTAATTTAGGTATTTCGGTATTCTTACCTTTTTATTGAAAATATATGTTTCATTGTTTATTTTATGTATCTCTGTATTTTCATCCAGAATTTCAATCACGGATACTACAGCTTCCTCCATTTTATCTATGAATCTAAGTTAAGAAAAAACGTTTCACCGTGGTATTAAAATCTCGTATAAGTAATTATTCATATGCTGTTATAATGTAAAAACCAAACTTTGATCTGCTTTTTAAGTCCCGGCCACATATTATTCCCGGCTTTAGTTCACATTTGAGGTTATATTATTGGATTATTGCCATAAATCGACCGGATCGACAAACTCAAACAAATTTCCCTGCCTTTTTTTCGTTGGAGCTCGATAAGCTCCTTCAAATTATCCGGAGGAGATCGAGCCCGCTCGGAGCGCTCGCAAATGTAATACCGAACGCGGAGCAGATTGAGAAAATCAGAAAGATCTGCAATGTCGAACGCAAAAAGATTGATTAAGCGTTCGAGGAGGTAATAGATTTGTAATGTCGAACGCAGCTTACATATAAGGCTATAAGGCGGATTAATTCCAATTTAAGCAGTTTTTATTGTTTGTAATTTAAAAATTATTGTTATTTCTAGAAAATGTTAAATATGTTAAAAATCTTACATTTTAGTCGTATACTTATACAATTCACCTTTATTTTTCTCCCAGAATCTGACAATCAATTAATATATAGGGTATATATTCAATTACAAAAAAACCCAACTTTGATATGTAACTTTTTTTGGGGACACCCTGTAGAAATCTCTATATTTTTAAAAAGTGTTTTGAATTAACCTACATATATGCTTACAAAATTTTATTTCAATACAAACTGTTGTTCTCCTTGGAGCCTCCGTGGCGTATGAGAGGTGCCACCCTGTACATTTATTTCATTTTTATAGACATTAGACAAAAGGTGCAGATATTATATAATAATGTTTCTTCTTTCTTCCTTTTCAGGTAAATTTCAAAGCAGAAAGGCCCAACAGAGTAAGTTTTTAAAGAATATTTTAAAATAATTGTATTGTTTAGAAACAGTAGCAGAGAAAAAATTAGTATTATTTTTGCCATAACAATATATTTTTGATTGTCATTGTCAAAAAAAAACATCGACATTAAAGGTGCGTATTCATTATCCGCACGAACGAACGAACGAATGTTCGCTAGTGGTATGGACGGGGACCGCACGATAGAACCGCACGAGAAGACCGCACGCATTTCTTCATTCGCGCGCCAGTTCAAATCGTCAAGATATTGTTATAAACCTGTTTTTTTTTTGTTTATATACCGTCATTGAATTATCGCTAAGCAAGTTACTATGGAGCAGTGCATAAGGAGTCGGGCTAGGAAGCGAGAGATCGGAGTTCGAATCTCGGCCGGAACATCACTTTTTATTTTTTTTTAAATACTGTTGTATTCTATAGTTTATTTTGTAGTATAAGAAAAGGAACTATTTATTCTGTTATTTTTTAATCTCCGTTATTAATATAAATTGAATGTTAGTACAATACCTCATTTAATATAAAATAATATTCTACTTTTGAAATGTATCGGGCCCTTAATTGTACCTATATTTTTAGTGATATACCATATTGTAAACTATTTAATATTTCAGTCGCTTAAAAAGTTAATTTGCATTGAATAATTGCCTACCATTAAAGGAAATTTGAGCTATATAACTCTTGATGGGCATATTCTGGGTATGCAAATACTTCCTTTAAATTTTGGGTGTGGTTCAACCGATTTATTCTCAAACCAGAAACATCTACATATAAAAAAGAAGCACAGGTCACTAATTATAATAAACTTCACCCTTGGTATTACTTCCACTAATTATAATAAACTTCACCCTTGGAATTACTTCTATCACAATTACAATACGTTCATCTGCATTGGCATTTTCTACTTTTCGATGGGAAACAATAAACTTCCCAACATTTTTTAAATGATGTAACAATTCCTCTTGTGGTTACTTTTCCATAGATATCCTCATCTCTGTCCTCATGTGAATTCAGAGGCAATAAAAATGAAAATTATTTACCATAAACATCGCAAACTAAAAACCTAATAAACAATTTTATACCGAATATAGAAATAAATTTAGTATTTTTACCTATTATCGTCCAAATCCATGTTAATAGATAATTATTATTTTTAAATATATTTTTGGAACTGCTGGTTTTAGTAATTATTAAATTAAACGAACTAAAAAGTCTTAAAAATAAACAATTCTTAACCATAACCTCAAAAAATGCAGATCTCCTGTCAACTTTCTTATATTTTTTATTTATTCATTATTTTCCTAGTGACGTCACAGGTGGTATGCGCGAACTGAACGAAATTGGAGCCGCTATCGATCATACCTTGTATTCTTTGTACCATGACGTCTAAACGCCTTTGATGTACCGACTCGAAGCGGATGGTCGAGCGGCACGAACGAACGAACGGCCGCATGCGTTCGGTCCCCGTCTAAATATACCGCACTTTCATTCGTTCGTTCGTTCGTTCGTTCGTTCGGATAATGAATACGCACCTTAAATCTGAAAGCGCACGCAGGCGAACGCCTTTGATGTACCGACTCGAAGCGGATGGTCGAGCGCACGACCGAACGAACGGCCGCATGCGTTCGGTCCCCGTCTAAATATACCGCACTTTCATTCGTTCGTTCGTTCGTTCGTTCGTTCGGATAATGAATACGCACCTTAAATCTGAAAGCGCACGCAGGCGAACGCCTTTGATGTACCGACTCGAAGCGGATGGTCGAGCGCACGACCGAACGAACGGCCGCATGCGTTCGGTCCCCGTCTAAATATACCGCACTTTCATTCGTTCGTTCGGATAATGAATACGCACCTTTAGAGTGTGCATAGCGAATCAGCGGAATCTTTGACAGACGACATCATAAAATTGACAGAATCTACAATTTACCGTTAAATTAAAATGACAGACAACAACTGTCACTGTTATACAGATGTTTTTGACGGGATTACGATATTCTTATCCAGAAAATCAATTGAAAGGTTACTTATATGAAAGGTTTATAAGTTTGTAGTCACCTACTTTTAATAATAATTCATTCGCGTGGAAAATGAGCAACTTTGAATTACATAGGGATTCGTCTAGTTAGTTATTTATATCATATTAATTTTGGATTGTGCATATCTAGCGAAACGATTCCCGTAATGTTTTTAAATAGACATATAATTGATGTTTTCAGTGTAGAGTATTAGATTTTTGGTGGGTAGTCAGTTCATATAAAAACTGTATGCTATAGATAAATTTTCTTTTTTTCTAAAGCTTCGTTCAGAACTTCGAAATTAGGGGGAAAATGAGTGGACTCAATTATACTTTATACTTTTTAGTTTACCATCATTTACAATGTCTTAAAAAACATTTAATATTAATAGAATATTCTAGCAACAGCTGCTTACGGTAGTCAATTAATTGTATTCATACAGAAAGCCAAAATTCCCTTAAAAAAAATCGGTAAAAAAACTTTTAAGTTAAACGGTTTTATCTTATATGCACTGAAAACTAGAAAATAATAATAACAATTAGGTATTTTGAACTTCTAGTTCAGAAATGTTTTAGTACTAGGCAGAATAGCTTTTAGGCATATTAGACTAAAACAAAAACGTGAGTCGCTCTGAAATCCTACCTATGGCAAAGCATATCTTTATACTTTGGTAGATCATGAACTCGGCGTTCGCTGGTGAAGCCGCCACGGCTGGTTATTGACTGTCAAAATCTCCAGTTACGATTATAGTAAGTCGATGCAATCCACACTTAGTATAGAAGAAAGTATTACAGCAATAGTTAATGGGCCCCACGTTTTATTTTAGTCTAATATGCCTTAAAAGCTATTCTGCCTAGTACTAAAATATTTCTGAACTAGAAGTTCAAAAATACCTAATTGTTATTATTATTTTCTAGTTTGCACATAAGATAAAAACCGTTTAACTTAAAAGTTTTTTACCGATTTTATTTTCTAGTTTTTAGTATTTAACGGAAATGCCTACCGAATATTCCTCATTCTATTTAATTCATTTAGTGCATCATTATTACATGGTTTTTTACCTGATAATTTATTACAATCTGACGCTCAGGTGTTTCTGACGCTAACAACTCTCTCTCTCTGTCTATCGCGTTCTGATGCTAGCCTAGACTCATGACGCTCAGGTGTTTCTGACGCTAACAACTCTCTTTGTGTCTCTCGTTGTGATGCCAGCCTAGACTCATGACGCTTCAGGTGTTTCTGCCGCTAACAACTCTCTCTGTCTGTCACGTTGTGATGCTAGCCTGGACTCATGACGCTCAGGTGTTTCTGACTCTACCAGCTGCCTTTGTCTCTCACGTTGTGCTATTAACCTGGCATCATGTTGCTCAGGTGTTTCTGTTGCTAACCGTTCTCTTCGTTTCTGTAGTCGACTATAGGTTTCATTTTCACTTTCTTTTGCACGTTTCGTTCTATACTTTTCTTTCGCCTTTTCGAGCCTTCTTTTTCGTTGTGTAGCAGTTTCGTTTTTATTTTTGTTTGTTTTTTTTATTTATTGTTTCCATGTTGTTCCCACGAGTAATGGACATTTTAACGGTCGACCCCCCGGAGGTCCAGTAGAGGGGCAAGGCTATAATATACAACAAGAGGCGCCCAATCTTGAGGGGAAAACGCTTGCGACATTACATTTTTAGCCACCCTAATGCCATGCAGTCCTCAGCACGTTTTAACCTATTACCTTAACTTGGGTGGTAAAACTACCGCTAACTACGTAGGTACATCTAATCACCTATTTTTTTATCTGTCCTTCTAACGTCACACAATCTTGGACACAACTGTTCTGGACACGACTACTCATGCCCTCACCTAATACGCCATTTTGTAACGACGTCCATCTTGGATTTTAAATTTTGTCATAATCACAGTATTCTACTAGTGTAGCGCTTTCATTTGATACCCATATTGAGGGGGTTGTGGAAAAATATGAAATCCGCCATTTTGTACCGGCGGCCATCTTAGATTTACAATGTTATTGATATTACTATATTGTATTGTCATCGGAACTAAAGGTGTGTACCAAATTTCAGATCAATCTGACAAAAGGAAGGTACTTAAATTTCAATTTCTAATTTTGACCCAAATAAACAAACAAATAAATAAATACCGTACGGGTCGAGCTAAATAAAACCGTTTAAAAACAATAAACTTTTTATTTTTAACCGCATTTTCTTTTGACGGATGATCCTCAAACGCCAAAATGACATTACTGACAAATTTTGACGTATAATTAGTGGAAAATGTTAAAAGTTTGTTAAAGCTTCATTCAGAAGCTTGCAATTAGTTGAATAAATTAGTGGTTTCAATTACACTTTATACTTTTTAGTTTACGAGAAAGCCTAATATCAGCTAATATTAAGCTTATAAAACAATCAACTTTTTATTTATAACCACAATATTATTATTGTAAATGTTGAAATGTCATTTTGGCGTTTGATTATCTCTTGACAGAAGATAATCAAACGCCAAAATGACATTTCTCGCAAATTTTGAAATATAATTAGTGGAAAAGTTAAAAGTTTGATAACTTTGTCTACTAATTGAAAATGTTTACCACTAATTTTGACGTTCTGAATGCGTACATTGAAATTAAAGGAACAAACTTCTGCGCTAATTGAAACCACTAATTTATTCCACTAATTGCGAGGTTCCTAATGAAGCTTAACTTTTTCTACTAATTAAAAAATCCTACCACTAATTTTGACGTTTTCTGACTGCATACATTGGAAATTAGAGGAACAAACTTCTACGCCAATTGAAACCACTAATTTCGAGGTTCCGAATGAAGCTTTAGTAATTTCTATACTAATAATTAGCAAATTAGAGATGTTATATTGAGAAAAATATCGATAGTTTTAACTCAGAGATATTGTGTACGTTGTAAGCCGTTTATAATCATAAAATGTAATGTATTTTTTAAGATATTCTTCCGTTAAAC